ATTGACCGGAATACCTGGTATTTGGCGGTTAACAGGGGCTTGTGGGGTGCACACTGGCCCCTGTTCTGGAGTTCTGGACGGGCTGCCCTAGTCTAGGATTGGTCCATGTTATTTCCTTTTATGAAATATGAAAATCCTGAAACAGCCCTCAAGCAGTTATTCATGGCTGGAATAAGGCCCATATGTCAAGCCTCTTTTGCCAACAACATCAGATCATTGTTAGAGGGTCATGAAGACACTGTGGGGCACAACGTTTAAGAGACTGCAGGTGGGAAGGGGCTGCAGGACATTCTGTGTCCCCTGTATGCACTGCTAATTTAGTCCCCAGTGCCAGGGAGACGAATCCAGTGCTCCACAGGCTCCCAGCTCCCTGGCGGGGACAGGGCCATCCCCAGGAGGTGGCAGGCCTATCTGCAGGCACCAGGCTAAGTGAGCGTCAGTCACTGGTTTCCTGGGTTCATTACTGCAGCAGGAACATCCGCTAAACACAGGAAGATTAAAGACGTCAGCCTCCTCTCCCTCCATGCAGTGGGGGTATGCGCCCACCCATCCACCTGCTGAGTAACGGAGACCCTGGAGCCCAGGAATCCTCCAGAGACACCACAGCAGGGAGGGAACACACTGGGGCCTCTGGGGCCTGCACAAAGGTCTGAAAGGGCAGGGACCCCCTGGTGCCCCCGAGGCAGCTGGGTGGAGAGTGAATTTGGACAGGCCAACAGCAAGCACCTAACTCGGCCCTGAGAGACACCTAGTCCCCTGGGCATGTGGCCGAGCCCCAGCTGGGGTGGCAGCACCGCCTGTGTGGTCTCGAGCAAGTCGCACCTTGTCAGCTGAGCAGGGAATGATGGTGCGGGCTGTGCAGGTCAGACAGCAACGCCCACAAAGTGCCTGGCACGTCACCGACACTCAGCAGACGGCTGCCAGTTCACATGATGGTGCCCACATCCCAGCAAGCGGAGTCTTAGCCATCGGACAGAGGGCTGCGGTTAGACTCTGCCATGTAGCCCCAGATCGCCCTTCACCAAGGGGGCTGGCCCAGAAGCTGGGGAGCAGCCGGAGGCAACCCTGGCCCTCCAGCCCCTCCCAGCACTGCCACGGCTGCAATCTCCTCACCCCAGTCAACCCTTGCCGGGGCACCCACCTCTGATGACTGGCTCCTGGCGGAATGCGAAGAGCAGGCCACCCCACCCTGGCACAACTCTGAAGGATTTTCCAGCTCTTGAGCTCCCTGCAGGTCGGCTCAAAGTTGTCAGGCCCCCACCTCAACCGAAGATCCCTCTCCCACTCCTGCTTCTTGCGCCTCCTTCTACAAGGGGAAGGCCCCAGCGCACCCCTTGAGAAGCCCCTACACGCTATACTCTGGCTCTGAGTCAGCAACCCAGGGAGCCCAGACTGTGGCAGGTGGTTTACGTGTGTCCTGTTCCTTAAAAAGGAAGGAATTGACCAGCATGAGGCAGACAGATGGACACACAGGGGGACGGGTCGGGAGAGAGTAAGCAAAAGGCTCCGTGTCCCCTTCACTCCCTCCACGGCTAAAGAGCAGAGTTAAAACAGCAGTCACACCTTTCCCGAGAGAGGCCTCGGGAGGTAAGAAACCAAGCACCTTCTCCAAGCACCATCAGACTCAGTCATCAGGTCTTGCCCCACAAAGAGTAGGATACAGAGGCCACCACAGAACTCTTGAAGAAAGGAGAAGGGAGACACATCAGCTCCCTGGGACCACACTGTACCGAAACCACAAGGTGTCTGTAGAAAGTGCCAGAAAAGTCCACAATGATGAGCTCATCAGCTGCTGGAAACCCAGGTGTCTCCAAGAGTTCTCCAAGGTGGCAGCAAAGAGCCACGAGCCCTTGCACAATGCCAAATACCCACAGGGGCCCCTTTTATTTGGCCCAGTGAGGGACCTAGGGGACCAGCCCAATGCTCTTCTTGACTTAGTGCAGGAATTACACTGAGTCTGAACTCATACCACCTTGCGCTCTCTGGCAAGAGCCCTGCATCATGAGATATTCTATTTGGAAGTAAAATGTCATCATTACTTAATAAATGCACCATGTTGTCCAGCTAACACCGGGCCTAGGGGAGGGGTAGGCATCAGCTGTGGCGAGCCCTCAGCTGGCCGAGCACCTCACTCTAGAGCTGAGGGGAAGGGGTGAGGCCTAGAGGAGCACAGAGTTCGTGCCAGGGTCCACGCAGGGTTAGGCCCGGAACTGACTGAGCCAGAAGCTCAGATGAGACTTGGTGCACCGCATCACGGCGGCCACAGCTGGCACAGGGCAACGCCCCCAGGGTCTGCAGAGTGGACTCTGACACAAGCTCTGCGGAGAGCAGTGTGGCAATACTGAACAGACACGGAGCCCCTGGCCTCCACTGCCACTCCTGGGAGTTTATCCTACACCTAGGCAGGCACCTTGCAGGTGGGCCCTTCTGAAAGGTCACAGCGAGGGCTGCGGCCATGAGCAGGGCGCGTCCACAGAGCGGTGACCACGTCCGCCCAACACAGGCTGTACAAAGACTGCCCAGACATGGCATCCAGCAGGAAAAGCAAAGAGTCGTGGACAGCGAGCCGGCACTGTGACGGCAGACACACACCGCACACCGCCGCAGGCCAGGCCAGTCACTTCTCACTGCATTCACGTTTTGTGTCACTGGAATTGCCTATGTGAGTGTAAAGCTTGTCAAAATATAAATTAAATGATTCCACTGATACAAAATGTTCAGAATATGTAAACCCACAGAACACAGATGGGTAGCTTCCAGGGGCTTGGGAGAAGGACGTGGGAGCAACTGCTTTCTGGGTGCAGGGTTTCCTTTTGGGGTGATGACCATGCTTGGAGACGAGACAGGGTTGGTGTTTGCACGACGTTATGAATGTTCTCAGTGCAGTCAACTGCTCGCTCGACCAGTTCTTGTTGTTATGTGAAGCGCCTCCATTTAAAAGGACATAAAAACTACTGAATGACTTTTTAAAAGATGTTTTCACATCTGCGGGGAGGCAGCTGGTGGGCAAGCCAGGTAACATGGCAGCTGTACAGCAGGGCTCAAACCCCTGCTGCAGCCAGACCACCCGTGAGAATTCGGGTCAGTCACCTACTGCTTCTGAACCTCAGATTCCTCACAAGTGAAGCGGACACGTGCCAGAGCCCCAGGAAGCAGTTCCTAGGCTTGATGCCGAGTAACTAGTGTGAGCACAGCGCCCAGCGCCCTCCAGCCTCCAGAGCCTCTGTTCCTGCCTTCTGCCCTGCTGAGACCCCCTTTCCCTGGGCAGATGCAGGGCCCACTCCCTCCCCTCCTTCAAGCCTGTTCAAAGGCCACGTTCTCCAGGGACCTTCCCTGAACACCTGACTTAACACTGAAACTCCCCCTGCACCCACCTGCCTCTGGGTTCCAGGCCATCCCTGCCTCTCTCTCTCCCTAAAGCTTGCAGGCTTATTTTCATCGCCTGCTCTTTCCACCTGGCTGTCTGCTCTGGGGAAGCAGAGGTTTCTGGCTGCCCCATCTACTGTGTCCCCCCAGGCCTGGAAGGGCTCCTGGCCCAAGGTAACACCGCCCCTCTGACCCACTGTCTAAACTTGCCTCCCCACGAAAATAAAACTGCTGCGATATAGTTGACTGAGCTTGAAATCAAACAAAAGTTTAGGTTTTAGAAACCACAGTGTCATTTCCACTTAAGTTTTTCTCTTGAAGGGAGAAAGCGTCTGCAAAGGAAGACCCAGCTCACGAGAAGATGGAGCTGGTGCTCTAAACTCAAAAGAATCCACAGTCACGCTGGGCACCCCCGTCCAGAGCAGTGTGAGGGTTGCTCCCCAAGAGCTGCTCGGGGGAACAGGAGACCAGGCTACGAGCGGTGCACCTGGGACAAATCGCTCGTTCACACATAGTAAGGACAGACAGAGCAGCAGGTGAGCCACGCACTCCTTCAGGGCCTTCCTGTCCTGCAGGGACAGAGCTGTCACCCCAGAGATTCACCTCCACCTGCTCTCACCACTCAGGTGGGGAAAGCATGGCCCCAATTATCCAGAGTTCAAAACTGAGCAAAACTAAAAGCAACCCTCAGGCTCTTCTAAAAATAGGCTTTCTAGTTAGACCCTAGGAGGCCACTAACTGCATCATTACTCAACAGATTTGTGCTGCTTCCTTGCTGTCTCCAAACTCTGTGGAGACAAAGGGCTGAAGCCAGCAGTCTCCAAGACTCTGTGGTTTTAAAAAAAGAAAATAAAACAAAAACCTTGCCAGTTTCAGTAAAATCAGCAAGGCACACCTTCCAAGCTTGGCTGTGGGTGCCACCTGGATGCTGGCTGAAGCCTGGGGCACAATTAGGAGGTGTCCAGTGCACAGGCTCAAATCTCCCCAACTGTCAGGATGACTGGCTGGTTGGTGAAAATGCTGATTGCTGGGGTCTACCCAGAGTTTCTGACACAGTCCAGGTTCGCATTGCTAACCAGCTCCCCAGCAAAGCACTGCTGCCGGCCCAGAGGCTATACTTTGGGAAGCCTGCCCCAGAAATGTCTTACCCGTCTCAATTACACACTGTGCGGCAGGCAGGCAGGCAGGCAGGCACACACAGTACAGACCCACACAGGTGGAGAGATACACCTGCCCAACCACGGCCCTCGCCCCGCCAGCCTGTTACTGGACATCCAGGGGGCCCCGGACCGGAGAAAGCTGGCCAGTTTTCTGTTGCAACAGGTCCTCAATCACACCAGAAGTTCTTGAGGTCCAAAGTCACAGTACTTCCCTTTTTTGAGAGCAGTCATGAGCAACCCCACCCCACTTTACCCTTTACACATGAGTAACCTCCAGCTGCCAGGTCTGCTTTCTGAGCAAGGACGTTTCAAGTTTCCAGCTCAGAAGAAGCAGCTGAAAGAGGAAGCCGAAAACCAAACAAAGCCAAACCCTGGGCACTCAAGAGAGCTACAGCATCTCTAACCGGGAACACATCCATCCGGGTCAGGAACCCCAACACCTACCATGGGCAACTCCACCCGCCTCTCACTTACCAAAGTAATCGGCCTTCGGGTGAGCATCCATCTCACGTTCTAGACGCTGGGTGAGGGCTTCTAATTTCAGTTCAGCAGCTGAAAGTCCGAGGTCAGGGCCCGGGATGAGGGTCTGACAGGGCAGCCTCACTCTGGGAGGGCTGGAGCTCTCTGGGAGCACAGCCCCCAAGCTGCCATCAGGGGACCAGCCAGAAGGACCTTGTTTACAAGATAACTCAGGCGGGGTGGACATCACTGGATGGACAAGGCTGGTGGGGCTGAGCTTGGGACCAATGCCAGGGTCTGTGCAGCCAGGCTTGGGACCCAGGCCAGGGGCGGCAACCGCCTGCAAATTGTCCGAGCTGGCTGGTGAGGATGCTGGGGCAGAACTAGGCAGGTATGAGTTGGGCCCATCCTGGAACCAAGGTGGAGGCTCCACAGTGGGTCTGGGCATTGTGCCTGAAGCCTCATTCCCCACCCCTGAGTTTGTTCTTGGGAGAACTTGACTGGAGCAGCTCAGGGACACGGGTGCTGAGAAAGTGGGAGTTCGAGGCTGAGCCAGGCCCAAGAAGGTACCATTCTCTGGTCCTGAAGAAGGAAAGCCTGGGCTCACCCGCTGTGAGGAGGCCGTGGTCCAAAGACCCGCTGGCTTCTCACTGCCACGGTCACCAACACCATCCTGGCCACTCTCAAATGACCTGCTGGAGCTCAGGGAGAGCTGTGGCCGGTATAGCTGATGGTCCCTGGAGGGTTTGGGAAGGTGTGGGTCGCTCCCTGGGCCACGAGGCCACCCACTCCCTACACCTGGTTTGCTGCTGGGGGACATCCGTGACTCCGCATCCCACTTTGGACTGGCCGCGGAGAGGTTCTCGTAGTAGTCTCCGTGGGTGAGGCAGGAAGGATCCTCGCAGGGGCGATGGGAGGCGGACACCTCGGCATTCACTGGGCTGTCCTTGGAACCACAGTCCTGGCTGCCATTCTTCGTGTTACGGGCATAAGGCCTGGCCTTCTGCTCCTGGGGTAGGTACAAGGGCTGCCCAGAGGCAAGAGAGGTGGCCGTCCCAGGAGCCACTGTGGAGGCAGCGAGGGGAGGCTTGGCGGCCCCATCCAGGGTCTGCTTGCCGCCCACACCAGCTTCCCGAGGAACCTGTGCACCCAGGCGGCCCCCACCATTCACAGGGCCCCGGGCCCCGCGGGGCGCAGCCTCCTCCTGCAGGAGCTGTTGATGTTGCTGGAGGTGGATCTTGGCCATTTTGGTGGCAAACACCCTGCGAGTTTCCTCAAACTCCGGGTTGTTGCTTGCACACTTGTCCACTCGGAAGAGTCCATCCTTGGAGGCCTCGTACAGGTTCAAGTCCTCGATGAATTTACTGGCCTCCAGGCCCAGGTCATCATACTTATCCATGATGCAGACCAGTGCCTGGGCCTAGTCCAGATGCCAGGTAGGAGTGTGCAGGTAGGTGGGTGGGAAAGGGAGCTGCCAACTGGGGTGGCGGCTCAAGTCCAGCCCGGGGCAGGGGCAGGTAAAGCCTTCCACCTGCCCACCCTAAGAGTCATGACCCCAGGTCTTAAGCGTCCAGATGAAGTTGCGGCCTCAGTGCCAATAGCCCAAGTTTGCTTCCAACTCCCTTTCCCCTCCGGGCTGTCCACGTGGAGGGCTGCCGGTGGCTCTTCAGGGTCCCCAGCTCCGTTCTCCAAAACGTTAAAGGAAAATGAAATAGGAAAAAATATATTTCAAAAATCAGACCCTTCAAACTCGAAACCCTCAAGGCTGCTGCCGCCGAGCGGGGTAAAGCCGGCTCCGCGGCCCGAGAGCGCAG